CATCCTGCGGTCAGCCCCGGGTACATGTTGAGCACTGCTGAGCTGATTTTGAAGGATTGGGGGACGGTTTGGGATGAGCATTTGCGACGTGTATCCCTTTGCGGCCCCGAAATGCCAGAAGCCGGAAAACAAAAGACCCGAGCTGATGTCTCGCCCGACACGTGTACAATAAATGATTTGGGTTAAAATGAAGGATGGGTCGTCTGATTGATTGGATTTGCCTTTGCTTCACCCCCCTCCCCATAAAAGGCCGCACTTGAAAAGGAGAGGAGGTAGGGGGGAAAATGGACAGAACAGGTGGGAAGAAGGGAGAGACCCGAAAAGAGGGCGCAAATTAAGACTTAATAAATGTCCCGCGTGAGTAAAATATTCTGGACTGGACACTTCGGTAATAAAAGGGCTTGAAAGCTTCTCCCAGATTCATAAATTGCAGGTCATCCTCGACTTACGAACACAATTGACCCCCAAATTTCTCTTGTTAGGCGAGACAGTTGTTGAGTGGGCTTTGCCACGGTTTGTTAAACGAAGCACTGCAGTCGTCACATTAGGAACACCGCTGTAAAGTGAACCTGGCTTCCCCATTGACTTTGCACGTCGCAAAAGGGGATCACGGGACCTTGAGACGCTGCAACCGACATAAATACAAGTCGCCCAGCGGCCTGGATTCTGATCCACTGACCTCGGGAAGGCTGCAACAGTCGCAAGTGTGAAAAACGGCCCTAAGTCCCTTCTTTTCAGTGCCGTTGTAACTTCGAATAGTCACTAAACGAATGGTTATAAGTCAAGGACTTACTTGCATAATAGCTGCCAGCTTGGGAGGGGGCTGAAAACCACGGTTCTTTTCGAGCTGCAGGTTTCAATAAGGCTGCCTGCCGCCTTATTGACAGAGATGGCCCAATTTTGTTTCCTCGGCAGGCGACAACCTTGGAGAGCCCCTTTAAATGGCTTTAATGGGACAGGTCCCGCCCTTACCAAAGACCACCGAGCTTGGCGGGTGGCGGGTGTCAGTAGCCCCCCAGTCGCCAGCCTCTATTCCTGCCGCTCCTGGCCTCCCTAACCAAGCGGTCAGGTCATCTCGACTGTTTTATATATTTTTTAATATCAAAAAAGCTGCCATCCGATTCCTGGCAACGTGAGGCGCTGATCACGCTGCGTGAAAGCTGTTCTGAGCCGGGAAGTGAGAAACGGATCGGCGCGGGCTCTCGCTTGCCAATTTGGCCCTCGTTCAAAAATAACAACGGCAGGTCACAGGGAAGCCCGGCAGAGCTCGGATCGAAACAGCGACGAAGGAAAGAAGAGCAGGGAATTGTAAAGGAAGAGGGAGAAAGGAAGATTTCCCTCCCTTGCGGCGGCAATATACCCTTTGTCTTTCTTTCGCTCGGAGTTGGAAACTGACTAGGAGCTGGAACCAGACACTCGAGGCCAAGGGAAGCACTTGCTAAAGTAACTTGCTCGTGCCGGAAGGCAGATTGATGTATTTTGGATCAGGCAGAGAAGATTTAACAGTACATAAAAATAACAGCTAACCCTGCTCCTTTCTAGCACTGATGATGTTACCTAGTTTGGTAATGAAACGTCGCTAAGAAAACCACCTAGCTCAGAGAACACCTGGGACCCCAACAGAGAGGGGGGTGCCCCCTGCCTACAGGTAGCCCTCGACTTATGACAATTGTGACCAGAATTTATGTTGTTAAGATAGTTGTTAAGTGAAGCCGCAAACACACCGGTTTTGCCACCTTTTTGCACCGTCATTAAACCAATCACTGCAGTTGTTAAGAGAGACACGTGGTTGTTCAATGCATCTGGCTTCTCCCACGGATTGTGCTTGTCAGAAGCCAGCCTGGGAAGATCCACAAATGGTGATCACGCAACCATGGGACATTGCGACCGCCACAAACGCACACCAGTTGCCGAGGGCCTGAATTTTGATTGTGTACAAGTAGTCCTCAACTTTACAACCACAACTGAGCCCCAAGTTTACGTTGCTAAGTGAGAAATTTGTTAAGGGAGTTTTACCCCATTTTTACGACTTTCTATGCCCGATTTGTTCAGTGAATCACTGAAGTGCTTAAATTAAATCACAAGGTTGTGAAGCAAATCTGGCTTTCCCATTGACTTTGCATGTCAAAAGGTCGCAAAAGGAGATCACAGCACCCCAGGACACCGCAAACCATCATAAATGTGAGTCAGTTGTCAAGCAACCTAATGTAAATCACTTGGCTGTGGGGATGCTGCAACGGTCATAAGTGTGAAAAATGGTCATATGTCACTATTTTCAGTGCCATTTCACTTGGGTCACCTAATGAACTGCTGTAAGTCAAGGATTACCTGTACTGTGGGGATGCTACAACACTCAGATGTGTGATGGCCTGTTGTCAGGCACTCTTTCAAGGCTGTCGTACTTTGAGCAGTTACTAAGCGAATGGTTGTAAGTGTAACTTGCAACTGCTGTCTTGGTGTAATGAATAGGCTAGACTAGAATTGGAATAATTAAAAAGAATAGAATAGAAAATATGGGATACAATATACTGTTGAATAGAATAACAGAGTTGGAAGGGACCTTGAAGGTCATCTAGTCCAACCCCCTGCTCAGGCAGGAAACCCTACACCATTTCGGACAAATGGCTGTCCAGTCTCTTCTTCAAAACTTCCAGTGTTGGAGCATTCACCGCTTCTGGAGGCAGCTTGTTCCACTGGTTAATTGTTCTCACTGTCAGGTAATTCCTCCTTAGTTCCAGGTTGCTTCTCTCCTTGATTAGTTTCCATCCGTTGCTTCTTGTCCTGCCTTCGGGCGCTTTGGAGAAGAGCTTGACTCCCTCTTCTTTGGGGCAGCTCCTGAGATACTGGAAGACTGCTATCATGTCCCCCCTCGTCCTTCTCTTCGTTAAACTAGACATCCCCAATTCCAGCAACCGTTCCTTATATGTTTTAGCCTCCAGTCCCCTAATCATCTTTGTTGCTCTTCTCTGTACTCTTTCTAGAGTCTCAACATCTTTTTTACATCGTGGTGACCAAAACTGGATGCAGGATTCCAAGTGTGGCCTTACCAAGGCCTTGTAAAGTGGTATTAACACTTCACGTGATCTTGATTCTATCCCTCTGTTAATGCAGCCCAGCACTGATTGTAAGTTACCTGTAGTAGCCAAGAAATTCCTCCCTCCGTGTTGTTTCAAACCAGGCCTGGTTCTCTGGAAAAATCCCCACATTAGATAATCGTAATCCTTATAAACTGTATTTGGGAGGGATTTTCCTGGTGGGGAGGGAAGAATTACCTCATTTTCTGTAGTATTTTTTTTTAAGTACTATTAAGCATTATCAAAAGGAGATAACATGTTCCTGTACGGACGAATATCGGATTAATCATTAAAAGAACAGCAAAATAATAATAATAAAGATTTGTAGTGTTGATTGGAGAGTTCTGTTAATGTCAAGCTGGCGGCTATCAACCACCTTTGAAGCGAGGCCTTCCGTCACATCGTAGTCCTCTACTTACGACCGTAAGGGAGCCCAACGAGGCATTTGTGAAGCGAGTTTTGCCCCGTATTACAACTTTTCTTGCCCCAGTTGTTAAGTTAAATCGCTGCGGCGGTTAAGTTAGTCCCACGGTCGTTAAGCAAAACTGGCGCTGCTCATCAGAAAAGGGGGATCACGTGATCCCGGGACAGTGCAACCGTCATAAATATGAGGCAGTTGCCAAGTGTCTGAATTTGGATCACGTGACCGTGGGGAATGCTGCAATGGCCGTAAGTCTGAAACGTGATCATAAGTCATTATTTTCAGGGCTGTCGTAACTTCGGTCGCTAAATGCTGTAAGCCGAGGACTGCCTGTAGTTGCAACTTCATCTTGAGGCCTTTTATTGCCTCCCGGGCAAATGCAGGTAATCCTCGACTTACAATCACAATCTAGCCCAAAACGTCCGTTGCTAAGTGAGACCGTTGCTAAATGAATTTTGCCCCGTTTTACGACCCTTCTTGCCACAAGTGAATCACTGCAGTTGTTAAGTGAGGAACACGGTTGTTAAGTGAATCAGGCTTCCCCCCCACTGGATTTGCTCGTCAGAAGGTGGCAAAGGGCTGATCGCGTGAACCCGGGACGCTGTGACCGTCATAAATAGGAGTCGGTTGCCAAGCGTCTGAATTTTGATCACGTGAATTTGGAGGCTGTCACGGTCGTTCAGCGTGAAAAATGGCCGTAAGTCACTTTTTTTCCAGGGCCGTTGCTAAGTCGGGGACCGCCTGTGGGAGGATACGCGGAAGGACCCCGTTGCTGCGTGTTTGGTGTTCAAATACGGAGGGGAATGTCACACACGCTTATTCTCATTTATTGACGAGCGAGCACACACATACGACCGTTCCTATGCCTGGGAAATTGCACTGGAAATGAGGAGGGGGGGCTTCTCCAGAACTGGGAGAAAAATCCTATGCACGACTTCATTCCCCCCACACACACCCCAAAGAAAAAAAAGAGAAAAAAAAGAAAGCAGCCGTGGCATCATCCGAGTGAGCATTCAAGCCGTCACCCAAAACCTTTGAAGGCAGGACCCTTCCCCCCCCCCCCGGTTCGTATTCCTGGGCTGAGCTGACCTGAGAAGTGAGGGAGGGGCATGGGCTGGAAGGAAGGGCCCACATATATATGGAATGGGTGAGGCACCCGGTCTACCAAATATAAATCAGTCTGTTCTGCGTTTCGCTCCAATCTAGGAGCATGTTTTGCAGGCAGACCTCACATACTGTGAACGCTATACATTCAAAATTTGTGGCTGGCAAAGAGTTAGTGGGAGACTAGTATAGCTATTTCAGGCTCATTAGCCCTCATCAGCTAGTCACACCCTTCAGGGATTCGAACCTGGGCAGCTTGCATGTTAGGCAGCGGTTAATACCTAACATGCAAGCTGCCCAGGTTCGAATTGCCTAACATGCAAGCTGCCCAGGTTCGAATCCCTGAAGGGTGTGACTAGCTGAGGAGGGCTAATGAGCCTGAATAGCTATACTAGTCTCCCACTCACTCTTTGCCAGCCACAAATTTTGAAAGACTGACCACAGAACCATGGTTTAAGGGACCCTATTTCCTATTCTAAGTGATTCGACAAAGGTAGTTCTTTAAAACGACTATGCTATTTTTCTCCTTCTCTCCCTACATCCCTCCACTGATTATCAGGAAACCAGGAAAGGGTTTGGGGGGGTAGCAGCGAAACCCGTGGACCCATAGTGAGATCCCAGGGCCAGTGGAGTTGGGGAAGGGAAGGGGCAGGGAGGGAGAGGACGGAGGAGGAAGGGACGAAAGGCGGGGAAAGGGAATCAATGAATGAAAAGAAGGGAAGGGAAAGGAGAGATGGTGGAGGAGGGGAAGGAGGGGAGGAGGGGAGAGAGGGGAGGAGAAAGAGAGAGAAGGGGAGAGAGGGGAGGAGAAAGGGAGAGAGGAGAAGGGGAGAGAGGAGGGGAGATGCAAGAAAGGAGAGAGGAGAGGGGAGGAAGACAAAGAGAGGGAGAGAGGAGAAAGGGGGAGGGAAAAGGGGAGGGGGGAAGAGAGAAGAGAGAGAGTAAGAGAAAGGAGGGAGGATGAGTGGGAGGAGAGAGGAAAGGAGAGGAGAGAGAAGAGAGAAAGGGAGAGGGAAGAGAAGAGAGGGAGAAGAGAGAAGAGAGGGAAAAGAAGAGAGAAGAGAGGGAGAAGAGAGAGAGGGGAAAGAGGAGGGGAGAGGAGGGGAAAGGGGAGAAAGAAGTGGGGAGGGAGAGGGGAGGAAGAGTGAGAAGGGACCCTGTCCCTCAACACCACCCAAGAGGCATACAAAGAGGGCACAAGCCGTGATTTCCTGGCCTGGTCCCACAGAAAGAAGGATGACGGTTACCTTCTTCCAGAAACGGAAAAATCTGGGCTCATCCAGAAAGCTTCAAAGTTTCAGGAGAAAAAAAACAAAAAACAAAAATTACCTACAGGATCCGAAAGGAAGACAATTCTCTAAAAAGTCAGGTAGAAACGCCAAGGCCAAGGTGGTTTGTCCCGAGAGGAGACCAGGCAAAACACCCGCGCCGACCGGCCCGCAGGGACGGGCCTCCGTCAAGTGGGCAACGGCTCCAGCTTCGGCTGCTTGGCCGGGACGGAGCCGCCGTCCAGCAGGCGGGATTCCTGCTTCAGGACCGCCGTGTGTCCCAGGCCCTCCCGGCCACCGTTCCAGCAGGGAGCCGGCTCTCCCTTGCTCAGGAAGGGCAAGTCTGCGCCGGTTTGGGAGAGCGGCTTGGCCTCTCGCTGTTCTGCACGCTCCACCACCAGCGGCCCAGCCCACTCGGGGATCTCCAGCCCGAGGAGTTTCATCAGCTTCGTCATCACCTCGTCCACGTAGCCGTGGATGCGCAGGTCCGCGTGCCTGTCCTGGGGGGGCAGAAAAAGAGGGGGCAAAGAGGTGACACAGAAGGCGTGTGAATTCAACAAGTACATAAAAGACGCTTCGAAGAGGCGGAAGAACATTGAAGCCCGAGGAGAGCCGAGAGTGGGGTCAAATGCGTCATCTGTCTGGAGTTGCTGCGCTCTCACAAAAGCGCCCCTGTGAATTCTGCTGACTCTTATCTAGGGCCAATTTGCTTGCACTGCGAGTAGATCAGATTCTTGTGTATACCGTGTTTCCCCCCAAAATAAGACCCGGTCTTATTTTATTTTTTGCCTCCAAAAGAGGCCCCCATTTTTATTTTCGGGGAGGCGGGTGTCTTTTCCACTCACCTCCGGCAACAACAGCCCCACCAAGCTGGCCCACTTCTTCTGCGGCCGAAGGAGCAGCTTCGTTCTGCCGCGGAAAATTGAGTTCCGGCCTGCATTTGAATCCATAGCTCGGTTTTCAGCTGCAGAGGCCTGACTGCGAAATGCAGACCTGGGGATGCCGCAGAAGTAGGCTGGCGAGGAGAGGCCTGGCTGCAACGGTAAGTAAGGGCGCGTAGGACAGCTCCACCCCCCCCCAGCCCCTGCCCTAGCTTGATTTTTAGGCTTGTGCCTCGCCCCCAAACTAGGGCTTATTTTTGGGGTAGGGCTTATATTAGGCCACGGGTCGGCAACCCGCAGCTCCGGAGCCGCATGCGGCTCTTTGAGCCTTCTCCTGCGGCTCCCAGTCTCCTCCGCCATTTGCAGAGAGAGAGAGAGAGAGAGAGAGAGACACTTGTACTTCCCTTCTCTCTCTCTCTCTCTCTCTCTGTGTCTGTAAAAAAGAGAGTGGCCTCACGCTGTTCTCTGACAAGCTGACAAGCTTATTGGGCAGGGCTCCTGCCTTTGCTGAGTCTCTGCAGGAAGCAGCAGAAAGTAAAAAGCAGCTCTTTTGCTCTCTCTCTCTCTCTCTCTCTCTCTCTCTCTCACACACACACACACACACACACACTTTTACTTACTTAGTGGGGGAAGAGGACTGGCAGACCAAGGGCAGGGGAGAGCCAGCCCAATAAGAATGTGTGTCAGCTTGTCGGAGAACAGCGTGAAGCCAGCTTGCCAGATGAGCAGAAGATCAAAGAGAGGGAGAGAGAGAAGGGGGAGGGAGAGAGAGGGAGACACAGAGAGCACTCATGCACAGCAGCCTCTATTTCTTTTTAATTAAACTCTTCAATCAAGTCCCCCTCCTGCGTGTGCGCATGTGCGCGAATTTTGCGGCTCCCCGTGTTTTCTTTTCTGTGGGAAATGGGTCCAAGTGGCTCTTTGAGTGTTTTAAGGTTGCTGACCCCTGAATTACCGCCCCCCCCCCCCAAATCAAGCTAGGGCTTATTTTCAGGGTAGGTCTTGCTTTCAGGGAAACACGGTACGTAGCACGAAATAAACTCTTTAGTACTTTTGAACTCTGTTCTGGCTCCTGGTTTCTTGCGCCTGACGGCCGATAGCCAAAAACTTTCCTTCCTCCTCCTCCTCCAACTAGCCAGGTCCTCTGGTAGCCCAAGAGAAGAAGATCCTGGCTGGCTGGTTATCGGCTGCCCTTTTCCCAACCGAGGGGAGGGGGGGCTGCCCCAGAGGACCCGAAAGCAAAGCATTTGAGGGTCAGCTGTCCCATCGAGGGAGGGAGGGGGGGTCCTTGGCGCAGACTCACGTGCTTTGTGGGCTGCAGGTTGACGATCACCAGCTTCCCGCCCTTCTTCTTGGTCAGCAGCGGAAGGTCCCCGCTGGGCTTGATCTGCAGGGAGGTCCCCAGGGTGATGGATAAGGACGCCCTCCTGCAGGCAGACGAGCAATCAGCCCTGGAGAGCCTTTTCAAAGAGAAAACTGGGGTGGAAAGCTGGGGGGGGGGTGTCTGGAACTCCTGGCCTGCCGTGGAATTGTCACCACCCCTCTCTCGGCTGCGGGGTCCTTGGCGCGCTCTGAGTCTGGTGGTTTTCTTGCAGATGTTTGGTGACCCAGCCAGATAACATCATCAGTGCTGGAAGGGAGGAGGAGGAGGAGGAGGAGGAGGAGGAGGAGGAGGAGGAGGAGGAGGACTGTGGGGTCCTTGGTGTTCTCTCAGCTTGGTGGTTTTCTTGCAGATGTTTCATGACCTAACTACATATCATCATCAGTGGAAGGGAGGGGGGTTTGGGAGGAGGAGGAGGAGGAGGAGGAGGAAGAAGACTGTAGGGTCCTTGGTGCTCTCTGAGCTTGGTTGTTTTCTTGCAGATGTTTAGTGACCCAGCCAGGTAACATCAGCAGTGCTAGAAGGGGGGGGGGAGTTGTGGAGAGGATTGAGGTCATCCTTGGTGCTCTCTGAACTTGCTTGTTTTCTTGCAGATGTTGCATGACCCAGCTAGGTAACATCTTCAGTGCTAGAAGGGAGGGGGGGGGTCGTTCTCTTTTTATACACTAGTGGCTTGCCTTGTCCGTGTCGGTGGGAGAGTTTTGAGGGCTCCTTGATTAGCCTGCTGTTTACCGTTAGCTTGTCTGTCTCAGTTGGGAATTCCTTGGTGTATTGTTTATTGCTTGACAGCTTGTATATAAACAGAGAGCAAACCCCACTCCCTCCAGCACTGATGATGTGACCTAGCTGGGTCATGAAACGTCTGCAAGAAAACCACCAAGCTCAGTGAACACCGAAGAACCCACAGCTGCCCTCCTCCTCCACCTCCACCTCCACCTCCACCACCACAAACCCCACTCCCTTCCAGCACTGATGATGTCACCAAGCTGGGTCATGAAACGTCTGCAAGAAAACCACCCAGCTCAGTGAACACCAAAGAACCCACAGCCGCCCTCCTCCTCTCCACAAAACCTACCGCTTTTTAGCGGCACTGATGATGTGACCTAGTTGGGCCAGGAAACGTCTGCCAGGAAACCATCCAGAACCCCCACCGTTCCCTCCTGAGCTACTAATATTCTCTTCTATTAGTAACATTTCGACTCGTTTTAGGAACCCCGTCGGCCTTCGCCGCGGCTTCCACACCCCGCTGGCCGAACAGATTCCGAAAGACCCAATCCAGCGGAAATTCAGAATCAAGAGATTTGGGAGAGGGCTGGATCGGGTAATCCTGTGGAGGGAAACGCTCCAACACTGGAGGTTTTTAAGAAAAGACTGGACAGCCATTTGTCCAAAATGGGATAGGGTTTCCTGCCTGAGCAGGGGGTTGGACTGGATGACCTCCAAGGTCCCTTCCAACTTTATCCTTATTATCATTATCATTACCTGCTGGCTTCAGAGGCCCAATTCAGGTCACGGTCCGGCAGGGAATCTTCCCAGTCTAGGATGGTGTCCATTAACTTGCCTCTTTAAGGAGAAACACAAAACACACACCGCTCAAAACCGACTGCGAACGGGAAGGAATAAGCATCTATATCAGTGTTTCTCAACCTTGACAATTTTAAGGCATGTGGACTTCAACTCCCAGAATTCCACAGCCAGCATTGCTGGCTGTGGAATTCTGGGAGTTGAAGTCCACATGCCTTAAAATTGTCAAGGTTGAGAAACACTGATCTATATAAATAAAAATGTAAATGTTCGTTTGTTCAAAATCTTAAATCTCCAACAGTTCTTTACCGATTGCTTTGAAATTTTGACACAACGTTGCATTCGAATACGCGCGTGTTTTTATATACCTACTATTATATAGATGTCACACCTGTGACAGGTAAAAACGTGTTTTTTAAAAAAACAGCGCCATCTGTTGGACGTAAAAGCAACACAAGTGAGCCACAGCAACGCGTGGCTGGGGACAGCTAGTTTTTTATACATTAATACGTTTTAACATTAATACATTTTAAATAAGCATTTTTAATACATTTTTTTAATGCATAATACATTCCCTCCCTCCCATTTCTGTCACCAGGGGCCCCAAGCCCCCCTCCCTCTTCCTCCAGACATGAATGAAGACCCCAGCCCACCCTTCCTAGCTCCCTCTTCCAAATTCCAGTGCCCAGGAATTGGGAGAGGAGCAGGGGCTGAGTGCTTTGAAACAGAAAGAGGCGTCCAGAGGTGGCTGCAGAACTTTTTAAAGCAAGCAGCTCACAAAAAGAAGAAGAAGAGAGGATCTGATCCTGGGAGGGAGGGACAGAAGTAGATCCCAGTAGGGAAGGCACCCGCGCGGGGTGTGTGTGTGTGTGTCAGGCACCTGCAGGATCGGAGCCCTCGGTGCTTGGAGGCGTCGCAGAGCCGGCCAGTGGGCTTCAGCCCCATGGTGCCCACCACGGTGTCCCTCACGTACTGCCTTAAAAAAAATAAATAAAAAGAAGACACAGCTGCAGCAAGGACAACCAGGCCTTTATCGATTTATGTTTATTTATATCCCACCTTTATTATTTTTACAAATAACTCGACGTGTTGAATGTATCTAACACAGCTTCCCCGTCCTGTTTTCCCCACTACCAGAACCCTGTGAGGCGGGTTGGGTTGAGACAGAGGGACTGGTCCAAAGTCAACCAGCTGGCTTTCAGTGCCTAAGGCAGGACTAGAACTCCCAGTCTCCTGGTGACTGGCCCAAAGTCAACCAACTAGCTTTCATACCTAACCCAGGACTAGAACTCACTGTCTCCTGGTGATTGGCCCAGAGTCAACCAGCTGGCTTTCATGCCTAACCCGGGACTAGAACTCACCGTCTCCTGGTGACTGGCCTAAAGTCAACCAACTAGATTTCATACTTAACCCAGGACTAGAACTCACTGTCTCCTGGTGATTGGCCCAGAGTCAACCAGCTGGTTTTCATGCCTAACCCGGGACTAGAACTCACTGTCTCCTGGTGACTGGCCCAAAGTCAACCAACTAGCTTTCATACCTAACCCGGGACTAGAACTCACTGTCTCCTGGTGACTGGCCCAAAGTCAACCAACTAGCTTTCATACCTAACCCAGGACTAGAACTCCCAGTCTCCTGGTGACTGGCCCAGAGTCAACCAGCTGGCTTTCATGCCTAACCCGGGACTAGAACTCACTGTCTCCTGGTGACTGGCCCAAAGTCAACCAGCTGGTTTTCATACCTAACCCAGGACTAGAACTCCCAGTCTCCTGGTGACTGGCCTAAAGTCAACCAACTAGATTTCATACTTAACCCAGGACTAGAACTCCCAGTCTCCTGGTGACTGGCCCAGAGTCAACCAGCTGGCTTTCATGCCTAACCCGGGACTAGAACTCACCGTCTCCTGGTGACTGGCCTAAAGTCAACCAACTAGCTTTCATACCTAACCCAGGACTAGAACTCACTGTCTCCTGGTGACTGGCCCAAAGTCAACCAACTAGCTTTCACACCTAACCCAGGACTAGAACTCCCAGTCTCCTGGTGACTGGCCCAAAGTCAACCAGCTGGCTTTCATGCCTAATGTGGGACTAGAACTTCCCGTCTCCTGGTGATTAGCCCAGAGTCACCCAGCCAGCTTTCTTTACTAAAACCAGACTAGAACTCACAGTCCCAGTTTCTAGTCTGGTATCTTAACTACTAGACCAAACAGGAAGCACTCCCGCCCTCCAAATCTCGGGCGGAGGGATGGCAGTGCATTAACAGCCCCCCAACCACAGGACCCTCTTCTGCTTCCACCTATGGCTTAACAGCTGCCTGCCTCTTGGGCCGAGCGACTGACCGATGGGGAGTCAGCATCCGGATAGGTTGCTGAGATGCTTTCGCTGGGGTGGTGAAGATCCAAATCCTGCTCTTGACTAACATCAGGGGAAGAGGCCTTGCTAAGAGAGACCCAGCCCCAGGCCACCAATCACAGCTCCAGAAATTCTGCAGGACGGCGTTCCGCTTTAAGAACGCTGAGCATCCCCGGTTAAAAGAAACCCCACCGTGATTACAAGCCACATTTTTTCCCCAGGCATATAAAAGCAGCAGGGGGGGGGGGAAGTGGGAAGGAACCTACTTGCCACATTTCACGCATTCCTCTACGAACATGTTCCCATGCAGTTCTGCCAGCTTGTCCCTGGAGACATGAGGAAAGGTTGATAGACAGTGGAGATCAGGGCAACTTTTAAGACTTTTTGTGGAAGTTGCTCTCGGTTTATAGACTAGGGGTGTAATAGCCTAATCGGGGACCCACCGAGGACACTCCCAACGACAAACCAGCAAGCCACTAGTAAATAAACAGAGAGCAAACCTCACTGACTCCCTTCTAGCACTGACACACAATCACTTCAATAGGAGCCAGCCGTGTGCTGCAGCTGCCAAAAAAGCCAACACAGTGCTAGGCTGCATTAACAGAGGGAGAGAATCAAGATTATGTGAAGTATTTTTTTTTTTAAATAAATTTTTATTTATTTTTCATTGAAAAACAAAAGCATAAGTCTTTTATCACAATATCAACCAAAAAAGAATCAACACTAATCAATACATTCACGGACGTGTCCGGTGCCCCCCTCCCGCACCACCCTCTTCCACTTGCCTACACCTTCCTCCTCCCATCCTACCACCACTCCTCCTTCCTCCCTCTTTCCTCCCTCCCTTTCTCACTCAACCATCCCGCCTGTGCAGTTGGGGTATCACCGGGCACCTCCTTAAAAAAATCATACATATATATACATATAAATCTATAGTACAAACCTACCCCATTCCCCCCTCCTCCCCCAAGACTTCCCAAAGCTAATTATGTGAAGTATTAATACCACTTTACAAGGCCTTGGTAAGGCCACACTTGGAATACTGCATCCAGTTTTGGTCACCACGATGTAGAAAAGAGGTGGAGACTCTAGAAAGAGTGCAGAGAAGAGCAACAAAGATGATCAGGGGACTGGAGGCTAAAATACACAAGGAACGGTTGCTGGAATTGGGTATGTCTAGTTTAATGAAGAGAAGGACGAGGGGGGACATGATAGCAGCCTTCCAGCATCTCAGGGGCTGCCCCAGAGAAGAGGGAGTCAAGCTATTCTCCAAAGCGCCTGAAGGCAGGACAAGAAGCAACGGATGGAAACTCATCAAGGAGAGAAGCAACCTGGAACTAAGGAGAAACTTCCTCACAGTTAGAACAATTAACGAGTGGAACAGCTTGTCACCAGAAGTTGTGGGTGCTTCTTCACTAGATGTTTTTAAGAAGGGACTGGACAACCACTAGTCTGAGATGGTATAGGGGTTGGACTAGAAGACCTCCAAGGTCCCTTCTAACATTATTATTATCAGGGCTTTTTTTCTCATAAAACGCCCAGAACAGAGTTCTGGCACCTTTTTGGGATGGAACCTTGTAGGGTAGGCAAGGCGGGTTGTATGATGTGTGTGAGTTCCGGCACCTTTTTTTTTTTTTTTTTTTTTTAGAAACATACTGATGATGTTCCCTAGTTAGGTCATGAAACATCTGCAAGGAAACCACCGAGCTCAGAGAGCACCCAGGACCCCACAGCTGCCCTCCTCCTCCTCCAACACTTTCTCTTTCTCCTTCTCCAACACTCTTTCTCCTTCGCCTTCTCGGAGAGCACCAAGGACCCCACGGTCCTGGTCCTCCTCCTCGCCCCCCCCAAACCACATTCCCTTCCAGCACTGATGATGTTCCCTAGTTGGGTCATGAAACGTCTGCAAGGAAACCACCCAACTCAGAGAGCACCCAGGACCCTACAGTTGTCCTCCTCTTTCTCCCCCCACAAGCCCCACCCCCTTTCTAGCACTGATGATGTTCCCTAGTTGGGAATGATCTTCAGATTCACTTTGATGGTCCTGAGCGTGATGGATTGATCTAGGTCAGGGGTAGGCAACCTTGGCTCTTTTATGACTGGTGGACTTCAACTCCCAGAATTCCTGAGCCAGCATGACTCAGCTTGGAAACCTCTCCCTTTTCCCTCAGCGTGGCTTTCTCAGGAATTCTGGGAGTTGAAGTCCACGAGTCATAAAAGAGCCAAGGTTGCCTACCCCTGATCTAGGTCGGTCGGTCTGTCTGTCTGTCTGTCTGTCTGTCTGTCTGTCTGTCTGTCTGTCTGTCTGTCTGTCTGTCTGTCTGTCATCTAGATCAGGGGTCGGCAACCTTGGCTCTTTTATGACTCGTGGACTTCAACTCCCAGAATCCCTCAGCCAGCCATGCTGAGGGGACAGAAAGAGGTTTCCAAGCTGAGCCATTCTGGCTCAGGAATTCTGGGAGTTGAAGTCCACGAGTCACAAAAGAGCCAAGGTTGCCTATCCCTGCTCTAAGGCAAGGGGGTGGAACGATGCCCTCCTTTACGACTTGTGGACTTCGACTCCCAGAATTCCTGAGCCAGCCATCGTTCCCCACCCCTAATCCAGGGCGATTGCTTGGAGAAGACCTGGCTTGAGACCTCCTCGGCCGCAAGGCTTCAAGCAGGTGAGCCTTACCTGGGGAAGCCGGACCTCACGTGAAGCCCGTCGATGTTTTGGCTGACCAGGAAGTGCAGGATGCCCACGCGGTGCAGCTCCAGCAGGGCCATGTGCGTCTTCGATGGCCTCGCGTTCTCAAAGGTCGTGTCGAATCTGGGGACCAGGCCCCGCTCCTCCATGGTCCACACCCCATTCGGGCCCCTGCAGGAAGGGAGACAAGCACAGTCGGGTCCTCGACTTACAACGGTTCATTTCGTCGCCGTTCAGAGTCACGACGGCGCTGGACAAAAAAAGGGACTTCTGCTCTTCGCACTTCACACTGCGGCATCCCCCCAGGGTCACGGCATCCAAATTCAGACGCTTGGCAACCGGCTCGTACTTAGGACGGTCCCATTCCCACTTTGCGACCTTCCGATCACCAAAGTCAACGGGGAAGCCAGATTCACTTAACAACCGTGTGGCTCACTTAAGAACGGCGGGGACTCATTTAACAACGGTGGCAAGAAAAATCGTAAAATGGGGCAAAAGCCACTTAACCAATGTCTCGCTTAGCAACAGATATCTTGAGCTCAATTGTGGTCGATGGTGGAGGAGGACGTGGAGGTGGCATGGCTCCAGGCTACCTGAGGAACCATGTCAATCAATCAGCTGGAAGGGGCCTTGGAGGTCTTCTAGTCCAGCCCCCTGCTCAAGCAGGAAACCCTAGACCATTTCAGACAAATGGCTGTCCAATCTCTTCTTAAAAACCTCCAGGGATGGAGCGCCCATGATTTCTGGTGGCAACCTGTTCCACTGGTTAATTGGCCTCACTATCAGGAAGTTTCTCCTTATTTTTTTGGAATTTTGTTTATTGATTTTCTATTTTCACATTTAAATATTTGAAAAGAAACGTGGCAGCTGAGTTGGTCAATGATTCCATAACGTACAAATATTTTTGGTACAGGTCCCAAAACTATTACATTCATTATTTCCTCGTTTTTCCCCTTGGTATTCACTGTCTCGCGTTTAAATTAATACAATTCTTACTATATCGATTAGAAAAAAAATAACTTTCTTTCATTTATCAATAATTTTTGTTTATACATATCCTAGTCGTTTTAACATTCAATCTTTAAGCATTCACTCTTTAAGCATTCACTGCTTCTGGAGGCAGGTTGTTCCACTGGTTAATTGTTCTAACTATCAGGAAGTTTCTCCTTAGTTCCGGGTTGCTTCTCTCCTTGAACAGTTTTCATCTGTTGCTTCTTGTCCTGCCTTTGGTTGCTTTGGAGCAGTGGTTCTCAACCTTTTTAATGCCGCGACCCCAACCGGTCGTAAGTCAAGGACTAAACCGGTCGTAAGTCGAGGACTAAACCGGTCGTAAGTCGAGGACTCAACCGGTCATAAGTCAAGGACTACCCAACCGGTCGTAAGTCGAGGACTTTCCCTGCCCGGGAGTGCCGCGCATGCGTGGTTCCGCCCCCTGCGCCGGCCGAGGCATAGCTGGCAAGCGGCAGAGACGGAGCAGGCCGACCAGCAGCTGGCCCAGCCCAAGGGAGGTAAGGCACCCGCCGGAAAATGGGGGAAAAATGGCGGACAAAAAAATGGCGGACAAAAAAAATGGTGGACAGCCTTGCTTGGCGACCCCCGTGAAATGGTCGATCGACCCCAAATGGGGTCCCGACCCACAGGTTGAGAACCACTGCTTTGGAGAATAATTTGATCTCCTCTTCTTTGTGGCAGCCCCTGGAAGACTGCTACCATGACACCCCTCGTCCTTCTTTTCTCTAGACTCATGGGTCTGGGCAACTCTGATGCCAGCAAAAGGGGCACGCTGAGGACCCCATCATCCAAGGAATTCTGGCTGGCAGGATCCAGGAAGAGAGCCTCCCAAAAGGGCCTTAAAACCTGGCTCTGCTGCTTGGCCTGGGGCCCAGCCAGGGCCCTGATATTCTGGTGGTGGTTACTGGATTAAATAGAAGACCCCCCACCTCCACCCCATCGTATACTCCCCCCTCCATTTTAGTTAATTGTGAATGAAATTCAATGGTGAAAAAAGTAAGGTTCTACATTTAGGCAAGAAAAACTAAATGCACAGGTATAGTATAGGGGGTACCTTGCTCAATAGTAGTAACTGTGAGAGGGCCCTTGGAGTCCTAGTGGACAATCACTTAGATATGAGCCAGCCGTGTGCTGCAGCTGCCAAAAAGGCCAACACAGTGCTGGGCTGCATGAACAGAGGGATGGAATCAAGATCACGTGAAGTATTAATACCACTTTACAAGCCTTGGCAAGGCCACACTTGGAATCCTGCATCCAGTTTTGGTCACCACGATGTAAAAAAGATGCTGAGACTCTAGAAAGAGTGCAGAAAAGAGCAACAAAGATGATCAGGGGACTGGAGGCTAAAACATATAAGGAACGGTTGCTGGAACTGGGTATGTCCAGTTTAATAAAGAGAAGGACCAGGGGGGACATGATAGCAGTCTTCCAGTATCTCAGGGGCTGCCCCAAAGAAGAGGGAGTCAAGCTATTCTCCAAAGCGCCTGAAGGCAGGACGAGAAGCAACGGATGGAAACTAATCAAGGAGAGAAGCAACCTAGAACTAAGGAGAAACTTCCTGACAGTGAGAACAATTAACCAGTGGAACCACCTGCCTCCAGAAGCGGTGAATGCTCCAACACTGGAGGTTTTTAAGAAGAAACTGGACAGCCATTTGTCCGAAATGGTCTAGGGTTTCCTGCCTGAGCAGGGGATTGGACTAGATGACCTCCAAGGTCCCTTCCAACTTTATTATTATTATTATTATTATTATTATTATTATTATTATTATTATTATTATTATTATTAATCAAGGAGAGAAGCAACCTGGAACTAAGGAGAAACTTCCTGACAGTTAGAACAATTAACCAGTGGAACAACCTGCCTCCAGAAGCGGTGAATGCTCCAACACTGGAAGTTTTTAAAAAGAGACTGGACAGCCATTTGTCCGAAATGGTATAGGGGTTGGACTAGATGATCTCCAAGATCCCTTCTAACTTTTTATTACTACTACTACTACTGCTACTACTACTACTACTACTACTAATTGTCTTTTAATTCTAATGTTACACTTACTGTTTTGCAGCATCATTTTTATTGTGTTGTAAGCGGCTCAGAGTCACGTGGCAGTGAAATGGGGAAGATATCAATTTAATAAATAAATCGACAGTAAATATGTACAATGAGGAACTGCCAGTTTTGAACCTGGTAGGAACGGCTGGATGCGAAAGGTTTCTGGCAGCTGAGGACCCCCTCTGGGGGTGGGAGAAAGAGGAAAAACTATTGTGCCAAGATGGAATCATTAGAGTCACCTATGGCTTGCCTTGAGGTGAAAATGTCACGGAAATAATTTCAAGGACAGACCACCCCTTCAACCAGTTCTTTTAATTCTGCCGACTTCCTGGATTAATTGTAGCAATCAAACTTAAACCAGGATAGATGTCTTATGCCACTGTTCTCAAGGATGAAAGTTTGGAAGCTACATGCCTCTGCGTTTCAACTTGCCTTTAGAGTAAGGGGGGGAGGTGTAACTTTCAAGTGGGTTAGATGGAGAAAAGAAACTTCTACGATTCCACTGAAGACCACGAGAGCCTGAAACCTTTTCAAGGACACCAGAACAGGTGTGGATTTGAAGCAGACGGTTCCCATAACAAAGTGAACTTGTTGATATGGATTACGTAAGACGTTGGGGGTTTGGCTGGGAAAATGATTGTTTAAGTCTATGAATTGGTGTTGGAACCCCAGAGTTAGTTTTGCTTCGACGTAACCAAGCTGTGTATTGAATAAACAGTATGTTTTTTGTAAACAAAATGAATCTGGAGTTTTATTTGGATTCTCGAGCTGGATGTTGACAACTGTATAGGTAGTCCTCCTCTTTTGACCACAATTGAGCCCAACATTTCCGTTGCTAAGCGAGACAGTTGTTAAGTAAGTTTTGCCCCATTTTATGACCTTTCCTGACACCGTTATTAAGGGGATCACTGCAGTTGTTAAGTTAGTAACATGGCAGTTAAATGAATCTGGCTTCTCCCAATGGATTTGCTTATCTGAAGGTCACAAAAGGGGGTCAGGCCAACTCGCCGTGGTCAACTCAACGCTGCCAACTCGCCATGAGATACGAGTTACACTAATATCAAAGAAATGGTGGAAGAGACTCATTAAAGAGAGGGTGCCAAAGGAGGGACAAAATAAAATGTGAATGACAAAAATCAAAACATTTTAAAAATTATTTTAAATGCTTAAAATTGAATTGTTGAAGTGTCCTGCAGCGAGTTGTCCCACACCAAGTTGGCCGTGCCAAGTTGTCCCATTCTGATCACATGATCCCAGGACACTGCAGTGGTCATAAATACGAACCAGTTACCAAGCTTCTACATTTTGATCACGTGACCGTAGGGATGTTGTCAGTGTGAAAAACGGTCCTATGTCACTTTTTTTCCAGTGGCATTGTAACTAAATGGCCACTAAATGAGGACTTCCTATATTAGATGAATATTCAACCATAAGCCTGCAGGCTTTCTCCTGTATTTCCCAAAATGAGAGTGAGCATCAAGGCTTCATAATTCATAATCTGTACATTAAGCATTGCTAATATTTAGAGAATAGAATAGAACAGAACAGAATAGAATATGGAATAGAATAGAATATGGAATGGAATGAATAGAATATGGAATAGAATAGAATAGAATAGAATATGGAATAGAATAAAATAGAAAATAGAATAGAATATGGAATAGAATAGAATAGAGAATAGAATACAATAAGAAATAGAAAATAGAATAGAGAATAGAAAATAGAATACAATATAGAATATAGAACAGAATAGAAAATAGAATACAGTATAGAATAAATAGAATATAGAATATAAAATATGGAATAGAATAAATATGAAATGGAATAGAACAGAAAATAGAATAGAATAGAATAGAATATGGAATGGAATGAATAGAATATGGAATAGAAATAGAATAGAATAGAAAATAGAATAGAATAGAGCAGGAATAGAATAGAATAGAATAGAGAATAGAATACAATAAGAAATAGAAAATAGAATAGAGAATAGAAAATAGAATACAATATAGAATATAGAACAGAATAGAGAATAGAAAATAGAATACAGTATAGAATAAACAGAATATAGAATATAAAATATGGAATAGCATAAATATGGAATGGAATAGAACAGAATATAGAATAGAATAGAATAACAGAGTTGGAAGAGACCTTGGAGGTCTTCTAGTCCAACCCCCTGCTCAGACAGGAAACCAAAATCTTCCAAACCGAAATCGTTATCCTCATTTCAATGCACGGCTTCCTAAACCAAACAGGTTATTTTCAAAGTCTGTTCTTCCCAATCCACGGAATCCAAAACTTCCAACTGAAAATTCAGAGTGAGCTAAAGTTTGACCTCCTCCAGACCTCTCTGGCCTCGGCTGTCCCATTCCCTCCCTCAGCCTACCTGAAATCCGGAATCCCTGAGGCTGTGCTGATTCCCGCCCCGGTGTGAAACACCACACTGAAAGAATTCTGGATCAAGTCAGCCAACTGGTGGATCTTCCTCTCCAACTCGTCCGGCGAATCAAAAATCTGAACAAAAAAAATGGAAGGCATTAGAGTCAGCGTCGATTTTTTGCATTGCAGAGGTGCAGCAAGGGGGTGCACCCCAAGGCGTGAACCCCCACACTGGGTACCGACAGCCGGGAGTGTAAATGCCCTGCTGAGAGAGAGAGACCACTGCTAGGTACCCCCCCCAAGATAAAGGCCGCCCTAATTGCTTTCTGCTATGTTAATTTATTATTATTAGTCCTCGACTTACGACCACAACGGAGCCCAAAATTTCCATTGCTAAGCAAGGCAGGTGTTAAGTGGTTATTAAGCGAATCACCGCAAGCGGTTAGGTGAACTTTGCCCATCTGCTTTCCACAGTTGTTACCCCGAATCACTGCAGTTGTTAAGTGAATGACACGGTCCTTAAACACATCTGGCTTCAGCTCAAACAAAGGCCTCCCCTGCCTCCTCCATTGTCCCCCAGGGCAGCCCCTGGTGCCTCAGTTTCTCCCTTCTCCTTCGTTGCCTCAGTTTCCCTCCATACCCCTCCCAGGTTCAAGCTCCTGCCCCACCCCTCCCCCCTGGTGCCTCAGTTTCCCCCTTCTCCTTCCCTGCCTGTTTCCCTCCAAACCCCTCCCCAGGTTCAGGCTCCTGCCCCCCCCCC